CATTTTTTTTCTTGATGAACCATACTTAATAATTGGCTTACAAACTCAAGTGGAGGAAATGAGGAATTTTGTATTGTGTTAAGTAATTAGATATTGTGCTTCAATAAGAAGAGTTGCGTGGGTTTGTTTTGTTTTTCTCTCCAAGTTGTCAATAACAGATCTAATGACATTAAACAAGCAAAGTGTTTCTAGGCGATGTTGCATGTTTTATGCTTTTTATTGAGGATATATCATCCCATTTCAGGGGTGGCAGCAGGGTGGGCAGATAAGTTTTTCATTCTCTCTTTGTATACACTTATGTCTAAGAAGTGAATTCAAATGGTCTTTAGTCCTTTCTTCATCTCTTTCCTTAAGACATGTCTTACTGCAGCTGAAGAAACCCAAGTCTTTCCTGATGTATGAAGACATATATATGCTATATGTAAACAAAATCAGGAGGATTAAAATTCGCGAATCTAATTTTTGGCTCAGTGATTGGAACAGGGTTCGAGTAATATTTTCTTCTTCATTGCCCAAGATTTTTCTAGATATTAGGAATGAAAACATATTGCTGTCAAGATTCTCAGTTAGTATCTGAAACCAAGCAACCGAGTCCTGCTTACGCATTATGGGATTTTCCCACTAATAATTTCAGTGGAATTTGAGCCATTTTATCCAGGATGATTTTTATTTAGTTTGGTGCAACACTGTTATGGTTCAATTTTGTTTTCTCCTCTTTTCCAAATACTCCTGTTGTTGGATCTACCAAAGCAAAAAGGTTTCTTTTCATAGGTGCACCCTCTATGCTAGTAGGAATTTTATGAATGAGAAATATTCTAAACAAGTCGATGGTTACATATTTTCATTGCAAATTAACATTGGAACAATTAATTTATTGGTGCCTATATTTCAAAATATCTTTCACAGAAGCAGTGGAAGTGAATCTGGTTGTGACAAGTGGCTTTGAAAAATAGGGCAATCATTTCATGCTATTTTTACTAGTGAGAATCAAATTCTGTGTTACATTCTGCTTCTTTTTTCCCCTTTATTATGTTAGCAAAGAACACGATGGACTTCTCTAAGGAAATTATATTTCAAGTGTGGCATTGATGGCCTGACTGGAGTCTGTAAGGACACAGATATTCAGTGTCAGGGACAAAGAGGGTCATTTCTCTGAAATTTCAGGTCCAGGTGGTATTTTCATCACTTTGATTTTAAACAATTGCTGCAAAAATCTGAAGGTTTATGGTGTGAAACACTGTTGTACTGAAGCAACAGGGATAAAGAACTGATATGGTTGAACTTATTTACAGGTTTTTAAAACTTTTTTAACAATTGTAGGTTATCCTTTAACTGGGATAATTTCAGTGATTAATTTTACAGAGTCTTGTTATAAACAGTAGAGGTCCCATATTGCGGGAGTGCTGAGCTGCAGCCTAGGTCAGACCTAGCAGATGCACAACACAGAGCAGGCAGAAGTACTGATTTTAGGTAAAGGTCTCTGCAGAAAAGCTTGTTTGAGGAGAATGGACGTGTATCTGCACTGTGGATCTCTTGTGTCTGTGTATATGACAACCTGTACAGAATCGTTTGAAATCCAAAATTCCTCTTTATTTCTATTTTTAAAATCAGAAACTGGATTGTAATTTTTTGGACAATTAGTTAACAGTAAGTTGCCAGAAATTTGCTGAGATCAGAAGTGACAGCCCATGTGTTTTGAAGAGGATTGTGGATTTGCTTTCTTGGAGTAGATTTTCTTTTAAATCAAACATCAGGCATATTTGCTCAATCAGGCCTGTATTTTAAGAAATGCTTATTTTGTAACAAACGGTTCTAGCTTGTGTTTTATATATTTCCTTATTTTGGAGCCTAATTATTGATTCACAGTAAAATTCATCTTGTTTTGCTTATGTTGGTTCCTGTTTCTCTTTCCTAAAATGTTTTTAGAGGAAATGTCTGCTTGCACAGTTATTCGTTTAAATTTCTGTATTTCATAAACTTCTGAAATTAGCTTTTGTTGAGTAATGTGTTCCTTGATTACATTATGAAAATGGCCTGCTGAGTTGTAGTTGCTTTTTATGGTTAGTGATGTGAATGCAGATTTCACTTGCAGACAGCGCAAGTATGGCTTGTGATGCACCTAAGATAAAGCTGAAGTCCCACGGCAGAAATACTTAGTTTGTTCTGTTAGTCATGGGTTGTGATTGTTCAAGGTAGATGTATCTAAGTTGCTTCACAGAATGTATCTGACTAGCTCCAAGACAGAAAATCTGGTCAAAGGAGTTTCCCTGTTCAAAATAACATATCTTAGGATGCTACTTTATTTTTATATGGTATGAGAGCAAAGTAGAGTCAAAGATAAGGGAGTAAGAGAGGCTTTTCCCATGGAAATTGTCAAGGCAGCTAAAACTGTCCATTTGTAGTATGTGGTGCCTGGGTGACAATGCAGGATTCATAAAATACAAATTGCTAGGGAAAAAGCACTTATACAAATACCAAGAAGAGCAATGCAATACAGAGTTAATGAACTGAACATTCATTCATCTCTGTTAAAAACAAACACTTAATCATGCAGTCTACTGACAAACAAGCATATTCTTGCTGAAAGCTTCCAGTGTCGTTATGCTAGCAAAGTGCATTTTGGGGTAGTTACATATTAAAGATTGACTTTAATTATCCAAGCATGCATTTTGGGGAATAATGTCCATATCTAGCAATCCCACAGGGCTGACATAAGGTTTTTTAGAAGGCTGCCTTATTTTTGCTATGAATGAATGCCCTTATAATACCGAACAGTGCTGTAGTACCCTCTTGAGGGTTTTCCCTTCGTAAGATCAGGGACTTGTTTCACCACCTTAATTTATACCTTACCTTGTTACTTTATAACAGAAAGTTATGCTCCTCAAAAGATATTCAATCTAAAATCAGCAGAACTGATTATAAGAAGCCCTAGACACAAAGAAAGGCTTGGGTAAAAGTCTGACGGAGATAAAAGTCTTTGTATAGACTGAAGAACTTGGACAAAATATGTTTGTGTTCAACACTGATGTTTTGAAGTTTGTTTTATCGGTGTGTGTGTGTGTGTGTGTGTGTGTTTTAATCATTTCCCTACCAGCGTTTTCCGTAGAAACAAACAGGGGTGTACAGTATAGCATAGATCTGCCTAAAGATAAGTATTTGCATTAGGAGTGGCTGTTTTGATTATCAAATTATTGAAGGGAGGAAATTGGAAATGTATACCAAGGCAGTCAGTAGGCGGAAGAGGGGCCACGTTAAAAGCACCCTGCCTTGTACGTTGCAGCCTGTGAACAGGGCCCAGAACAGGGTGTCTGGGGGATGAGGTGGGTGGACAGGGGCTGCAGGCCGCTTGCAGGAATATGTGCTGTAATTAATCCAGGGAGGATGTGGGTGTTTCAGCTTCATAATGCACCAGAATAACAAAACGGATACTTCTTGTTTTTTTTATGAGGCTTTTCAGTGACCTCAGAACAAAGTCATGAATAGTGAAAGTAGTGGGTTTTAAGAGACATTAGTTAGTTATTATTAATCAGTGTATTGAAGTGTATTTGGAAAGCTGAACTTTGTCATAAGGAGGTCCCTGGGCAAGAACCAGCACATTATATTTAAGAAGCTACATCCAATCCTAAATGTTGGTTACGTATTTGGTACATAAAGTTGTGATCTCTCCTATTAAAAAGGAGCTAAAGAGAAGGTTGAATGCAAAACTGCCAGAGGCCAAGCTGATATTTTGTAATTTTAAAATAAAAATGATAGTGCTTTTTCCAAACCTGAACAGCAGGTGAAATCTGCACTGCATAAACAGTATTGTTGATTATACTGTTGAAGGATGTATTTTTGAGAGGTTGAACTGTATTGCTTTTTTACAGTGTATTCAGCACATACTTACAATATGTGGTTGCGCACATTCTGTTGTGACGTATTTTGAATGGCAACATCATCTATTTTTTTCAGAAATTTTGAGTAAAACTTCGTTGTATTTATTCAGCGAAGAGGAGAACCTGCACCTTTACATCCATTCTTTGTGCAATTTTTGCCAGTCATGATGAACATAACATGCAAAGTTATTAGCCACAAGCATTTCTAAAAATAAAATAAAAAGTGGTACTAAGAGTAGTTTGCTTTTTCCTCTTGAAAGATAAATACCAAAAATGAGTTCAGGAAATTCAGGAAAAAAGTTCATGTTGCAGCATGAGAGCTTGAAGACAATTCAGCTGTATTGTACGTTTGGTTTGTACTTACTGCAAAGAGTACATAAGGAATGCAGGCAGAGTAGACTGTGTCTTTCCCATCTCTTTGCTTATGTTCTGGACATAGACAGTAGTTAAAATTATCTCTGATGGGGAGGGATGTTAAGTCTCCCTGGACTTACTTTTCCTTCTCATACAAATTCATGAACCATTCAATGCTTTTCTCCTGATTGTCACCAAATCTCATTTCAGATTTGCAAAACGAGTTTTACTGCTCACAGGTCAGCTTAATGTTTCCAGTAAAATGTTTATTCTTTGACTCAAAAACTGGCATACATGAAGATACTGCTCTTTACTTGTTGTTCCTGCAAAATTTGGTTTAGTTTTTTATTATTGCTACCATGCAAAATATTTAATACAGTGCTTCTGTGCTAGCGTTTTTGCTATATCATATGAGGTGAAACTGTAAATTGCTTATTTGCTATAAGTAAAAAGAGTTGCTGACTAGAGAAATCTTCGTTAACTCCAAAGTATGTTAGCTCTCTTTTCAGCTATGCATCTTCTTCTCCCACTTGTAAAGAGTGTGTTGAGGTAATTAGTATTTTAGCACTAATTTACCCCCCACTTTGACATGTGGGGGTAAAAAAAAAAAAATTAATTACTGTTTTTCTATTTTTTCTCATGAGAGAAACTTCTACTTTAGGGCTTGTTTGTCAAGGTTCTCAAGATGCTGCTATATAGTTGATAGCTGGTGTAGTCTTTTTTTTTTTTTTTTTTCTTGTTTCAGAACAACCAGTTCTTCTTTATTGATAGGTACTAGAAAGCTTTAAGATCATGGATTATAGTCTGCTCCTGGGAATCCACATACTGGACAGTAACATGAAGGAGAAAGACGGGGAGTGTTCGCAGAGCACATCTGATGCGAAGCGTCCTGGAGGGCAGAAGGTTCTCTATTCCACAGCCATGGAGTCTATACAGGGTCCCGGCAAGGCTGGAGACTCTGTCATCACAGAGGCAACAAATACGTAAGTGCCATAACCTGCTCCTAAAGCTGCTGCTAAAATTCGTACATTCCACCTCTTCAGTCCTGTCCCATTTTATATTAGGCCTGATATTGGCACACCGTTCAAGAATATTCAGCATTTCAGGATTTGAAAGATTAAGCTGAGTAGAGCTTGTTTATATTTTGTAACGATTTCAAATTTGCACTTTTTGAGATTTGCTGGAGACCCAGGGGGAAAAAAAAAAGATTAGTAGCTTGATCATCTTGAAAGATGGAATAGCAAATTTGATTAGTTCAGTATAACTTATGTAGGCACAAGTATATTCACTTATAAATGAGTTTTATGAGACAGACATTGCACAAGCTCCATGTATCATCTAATTTTAACTGGAAGCAACCTTATGAGCCACAAGCAAATACTATTTGTTAGTGTTGAAATGGATATTTATGCCGGAGTTATTTTCATCTGAGAGTAGTAGACTCCATAGAGTATGATACATAGAACTATATCATCAACTATTGGAGTGCGGTGATATCTATGTTCTGCATTTCAGGATATTTTCTTAAGAAGTGCAATTTTTTATATTATTTGCATAGCAGAAATCACGGTAGAAATTTATTTGTATAGACCACAGTTAACCAACTACCTTTGATACACATTCAGTGTTATCATTACGATCACCATTCTCATTCTGTGTATAATTAGTCTTTGATAATAAGGACTAAGGAGGATTTAATGTTAAAAGGATTTATTCTTCTGCGGGTTTTCAAGGAAGGTAAATACCATTAATGATAAAGTGATTAAATGTAAGCAAATGGATAAATGATCATGCTTAACATTTATAGAGATTTTCCAGCTGTTAAGAGCCCTAGACTATAAATTTAGACAAAAGGGCTGAATTTGGCCAATTTTGTTCAGTAACACTCTCATTCACATAGAAGATGGTAAGAGTTAATATTGTTAATTTTCATGGTATGCTCTTGCATGGTAGTGTAAGTGCTGTGCTGGCCGGTTTCCTGTAGTAACAGCTAAGCTACTTGCACAATTCATCCAAAAAAGTCCCGGTGATGTCACGCATGGGACCTGTCGCGCGTGTCCCCGTCACGGGGCGCAGCGCGTTCCTCCGGCAGTGCGGGACCAGGAGAGCCCCGTCCTTCCCTGCCCTCGTGCCGTGTCCTGACCTGGGCTCACACAACTGGTAGCGCAACAGATTGCACTGAGGGACGTGTCAGTTAAAATGAACCTAAGTCTTAATAATAAATAAATGAACTGGAGACCGATCCCTTTCCCGCCTTGGTTCACTGAATGGCCATACACACGTAAATCAGTAAATGGATACGCAATGGCCAGAAATGCTGCTTCTCTTGGATTGAATTTGTTGTTTAAACTTTCAGGAAAAGCAGCTAGTTTTCTAAACCACTTAACTCTTCTGTGTAATTGGGGAGTGAATTCAGCTGCAGCTTCTGGTTAACATGGCTTTACAACCAGTCGAACTCCGTTCGTTCTTACACAGTCTCCTTTGTGCCTAAAATTGAAATAAATATTTACAAGGTTTTTAAAAATTAGGAGATAGTAGTCCTATTCTGTGGGGGGTGGAGGTTCCTGTGCTTTTTAGAAGAATGAGTAGTTTGGGTGAACATGATTAACAAAGTTCAAGTTCCTTCAGCAAGAGGGGAATTACAGAACTGTCAACTGTTTACTGATTGTCACACTTGAGAAACAATCAACAGTGGTGGAAAATAATGCTTGCTTTGTATGTATGTTTTCCTGAGACACTTAGCAAATTATAGTTGTTTGAGATTTTTATTGTGGGAGTTAGGATTTTTTTTTGTCTGCTGAGTGGACACTCAATTCTGTTTTTGCTAACAGCCTCAGGTGAGCTTGCTCTTCGAACTGTTAGAAAAGTAGAAGTATTGAACGTGTTGCATCTTCAATATTTTCATCTTGTTTTGTCCTGTCTACATGAAGGTGAACCAGAAGCTAGCAGAAGTAAACTGAAAACTAGATTTCAATCTCTGGTCCTTAAAGCAGCTGGACATCTTTTTTTTGTGTTCTTTGAGGGGGGTGGGGATGCTTAGTGGGTAGAGAAGGTCTCAGGATGAATAATCAGTGCTTGAAAGTCATGCTAAGTAAATGCTCTGTGATATGCAGGAATCTGGGTAATCAGGTTTCCCAACTTGATGCTTTTACTTTTTCCATCACTAATCTGTCTGTAAGGAAGTCTTGGAAATACATTTGTACATTTTTAGTAAAAAACATGCAAAACTCAACATTTTCAAACTTGAAGAGTAGGCTCTCTACAGTTTTATTATAATGGCCAGTAAAAGGACAAGGTAATTCTTCAGCTAGGCATTTTTTTTTTTGTTATCCTTTATTAATAACTGATTTAAACTTTTTCAATTTTTCAGGTCTAAGTATTTCAGCTCTGAGTATTTATAATTCCATTTAAAAGTTATCCCAAAACATTGTTCCTTATAGTGATTATTTACCCCTCTATCCCACATACTTCATTTTTTGTCACTTAAAATCAGTTATGTGCTAAGTGACCAATGTTCAGCTGACTTTATAGTGTAGCACCTAGTGCTTCTTTGTTTGGGTTTGTAAATAGGTGCAGTTCATCTGCTAAGTGATAATCAAGAGAGGTCTTAAAGGATAATCTGCAATGTTTCTTGTTGTTTCCATCAGAATGGGAGGTATTCCAGCTAAAAGCCATAAAGGGGAAAAGTTGCTTCTATTTATGGGCATTATTGATATTCTGCAGTCTTATAGGTAAGTGGCAGTTGTATATCAAGTTTTTACTGCAATCAGCTAATTTGATGTTACTTACATATAAGAACTGCCCTACAAAACTTCCATATCTTATATTTATATGCTTAGGTTAATGAAGAAGTTGGAACATTCCTGGAAAGCTCTTGTTTATGATGGGGTAAGTAGATTATTTTTAGGTGTTGATTTTTTTTTTTAGATAATGGAACTTTGACTTCCACTGACCAGAAAATGAGATATTTTAGTAATCTACAAAATGCTATGAAAGCGAGACTTTTTTAGGCACATTTACAGAAACATACTCTATTTTTTTAGCTTTCAAAAAGTAAATATAACAATCAAATTATCCTTATTTAAACAGGCCAGTAGTTATTTAGCAGAACACCGTGGATCTGTAGCTGAAAACTATACACAAATTATGATATTTTCATAAATGCTAGAAAGATTTAGTGGAACACAGCTTTATAATTCAAAACTTATAACTTAGTAAATTAAATTATCTTGAAGAGCTGACCTTTAAAATTGAAAAGGCCTTGAGGTTTTATTTTTGAGTATGCCTGAAATGCATGGTTCAGTTTACCTGAGATGTCTGGCTTTTTTTCTTGATAGTTTAATTTTGATTTTCTTATAAAGAATGTAACTGAGACGTTTTTAAATCTTGTAGGATAGTGTTTCAGTTCACAGACCAAGCTTTTATGCTGACAGATTTTTGAAGTTTATGAGTACACGAGTTTTCAAAAAAGTTCAAGGTAAGAAAGTTGTCCTTGTTACTTTTCTAGGTAGTACAATAATTGTTGTTTTATAACACTGCTGTCTTGGTAATGTATTCATATAGCCATGTATCTCTTGTCACACCAAGAGCATCTAATGGCTATACTCTTTTGTCATTGGTACAAAGATAAATTCAATGAGTTAATTAAATTTCCTGTCCTGTTTGCGTAACTAATAGGATTACCACCCATTGATTTGATTTATTTTCGTAAGTATTTCATAAGTAAAGACTGTTTGCCTACCAACTTCAGCATGTTTGAAAGGACATGCATGCTTGTCCCATTGGTAGGGATTTCTTCTGTGCTTTATCAGGAAAAAAAAACAGGGAAGTTCAATGTCATTAAGATCTTATGTCTTTGTGATTATCACCGGTTTCTACTTTACCTCTGCGTATCTCCTTTTCATCATCTTCTAATTCATTTTCAGAGGTAAGATATATATTAATATTAGCTACTTAGAGGAATGAGAAAAAAAAGTATATAGTCACTGTAATTGAACATTTTCACTGAAAGTTGTCAAAAGAGTTAAACTTAGAAAGTATTTCAGTAATAATAATTAGCTAATAATTATTAGCTCTATTAATATTGCCACTTCTGTGAAATAAAATGAATTGATTTATAAAATTTAAAATAGACTCTGAAAATACTCTTAAGGCATAGGTAATGAGAGAAAAGTAATTCAAGGTACATGTTGCCTTCCTGAATTTTCCCAAGAGGTCACAGATGAAACTGCAGCAGTATTTAGTATTAGATAAGTAACGCTGCAGTAACTACTTTCTGTATAGGTGTATGGAGTTAAATTCCAGGAAAAGGACTAAACAAATAGCTATTGCATTTTGTGACCTGATTCCAAATTGAAAAGAGCAACTGAATACTACTGTAGCCCTGTCCATTTGCCAAAGCCAGCAGGACAGATCTTTTCTCAGAACTTGGGCCAAGCTATTGAGTAAAACAAAAGAATTTGTAACAGTTAAGGAAGCGATTTATTTTCAGTCTTGCTCCATCAAGTCGGCTTCTGAAAAAACAGCAGGGAAAAAATAGCTATCAAGTGAAAATGTCTTGAATATAAGTTCATATGTTCATAGCTAGTTATTGTGCCCAGCTGAGTGTACAGTTTTCCCTGCCATCCTTGAAGGAGAATCCTGGTATAGCTGCATCTTACAGGGAGCATCATACTTGAGTAGCACAATGCAGTGCAATCTTGACCTTCCAATATTTTAGGTTTTCCAAGTAGTATCAAAATAGCCTCATTCTGACACAAAGGTTAGTTCATTAGTCATTAGTTCATTTTAGTTCTTTTTTTTATTCTTAAAAGAATCTAAAAATAATTTGAATCCAATTAAAAACAAAAGAGTAGTTGTAGCTTTGCGATGGAACCACACATTTGCTGAAGTATGCAAAAATAATGTGTTTGGAAACTAAATGTCCTAACCTTCAGTTTCCAACAAGAACCAAAAGTCTTTTATCTCGTATACCCTGTGAAATTGAAGATGTTATAATATATAGCTGCATGAGTTGCATGAGATCCAGGAGTAGGCTGGAATTTGTTCATATCTGTCCAAGTACTTAAGGATAGCTTAAGGCTTTTGCAAATTAAATGTCAGGATCTTGTTTGAGTTTTTTGTTTGTTTTTTTTTGTTTTCCAAAGGCTATACAAAATTTCAATTATAGGTTTTTGCTATCTTATAATTATGGAAACATGAGAAAAATTGCGAATCACTTTAGAATGCTACACATTCTCAAGCAAAGTCAAAATTTAGTAGACCTAAAAACCCCAATTTCTTGTCACTGTATTATTTTCTTCTAGGATTATATTTGAGTTGATTAACCTCTTTACTTGCAGCTGTATCCTAGGGGGTGATTTAGGGCTATGTAAAACTGAAACCATTCTTTGCATCATCACTAACTCATTGTTAGGGCAAGAGCTTAACTGGAAAGACTTAGTTGTAGATTGGATTTATTACAGACTTATTCGATCAAAATTTAAGCTCAGGTTTGCTTTATACTGCTAAACCTCAGACTGCACTTGCCTATGTTACTCTGCATTTTCTCTAAAGATAATATTAACACCTATCTGAAGAACAGTATCCAAAGTGTTCTTTGAAATATCCCACTTGTTTGGAGAGAGCTTGTTAAACTGTGACCCTGCCCATGAAAAGGGAGAGAGATATGATAATTTAGAACAGCATATGTGATTAGGTCTAAAAAGGGGAAAGAGGGGAAAACGATCACGATCAAGAAGAACAAGAAATCAGAGGAGTAGATGATAGGTAATTAGGGAACTTAACGAAATTTCTAAATAAGATGAATAAGAATAGGGGTGAATTGATGAAAGAGGGCTGATAGTAGCCCAAATGAAAAAAAAAAAAAAAAAAGGAGAGAGAGAGAGAAAGAAACTAGGTCTTTAAAGGAGAGTGGGAAAAGAGGAAAAATGGAACTAACCCTTATTAGTGATTCCGTATGTATGAAGACAGCTATTCAGGGAGTCTTAAAAATGTTAATGAATTTGCTGATAACTTATGTACGGATCAGTCATGCTCGTGAAAGGCAAGTTGGTCTAAAGGACCACAGGTGCAGAGGAGAATGGTGTTGGCCTCGAAGACCAATTCCATGTATGCACCAAAAGGCAGTCTGCAGGGAATATGATGAATATACCAGTAATGCAAAGGGAAATGGTCGAGTTCACTGTGACTAGCTGCTTTTTCTTACAGAGCAGCCTATAACTATATGAGTGATGATGTATTTTCAAGTTACTCCAGGTATTATAAAACCTTATCTAAAAGATAAAGACCAGTTAGTTTATGTAATATGCATCCATATTAAACGTTCTAACATTGCCCTCTTTACTATTTCTAATCAGAGGTACTTTTCTGACATTTACCCTCTAAAATGTCTTCTGGGAGTTTCAGAGCTTTATAGTGCTTGCAAGTGCAGTGCTTGACAAATATATATTAATAGAGAAATGGATGCTCTAAAATGGATGCCAGTCTGGTATGATAATCCTCTTTTGTAACTATATTTGGTTTGGGTATCAATGTTGAAATGTTGAATGGACCCTGATTCGAAGACCACAGCAAAGCAGCATGAGCACATGGCATTGTGTCAAACTGATGAAGGGTGTTTTATCGAATTACTCTCTTGACAGTGTTAGGTTGGTCTATTTTAACATTGCCATCAATTGCCCAGAAAGAGAAACATGCCAAATAGGACTTAAAGGAAAGTGACAACAAATAGTTACAAACTATCAACTTACTGAACTCGGCACTAATATCTTGGGGAATAGTCAAACCACGTATAAGCTCATAATCAGAATTAACCCTTTTAGACACAACATGGTGATTAATATCAAAGTAGTAGGAATTCCATTAGTAGGATAAAACAGTGAGGCAATGCGGCGCATGCGCACCCCGCGCTGCGGCGGGGCAGCCCCAGGCCGGCGCTCAGGGTCAGGCTGCCGAGCCCGGCAACCAACCAGCCAATCAGCAAGGGGGTCCCGCGCCGCGGTGGGAGAAGCCGCCTCCTGAGGCTGAGGCTGCTTAAGCTATAAAGCAATGGCCTCTTCCCAGAGAAATGGTGGGAGCTCCTTTGTTCAAGGCAATTCCTGTAGGCTTTTCCTGGAACCCTTCTGCACGATAGCAAGGAATAGACAACTTAAAACTCCAGTGCGTGGCGTGAGATATATTACTTTCGCAGCTGAACAAGATGCTGCTTTCCGTGGTTTAAACTACAATGTAAAATAAAGAATTTTCTATTTTTCTTTCTGAAATCAATTTGTCTGTCTCATTTTTCCGTACTGTTGATCTGCTTTATTATCACACTTTTATTGATCAGTTCTGCATACAAGACTATTAGTCTACTTTTATATGGATTAGTAATTTAAAAACATCATTGGTTTAAAAAGTAACAAATAGGAGTGTTGCTGTCTTCGGGGACATTGCTTTTATATTTGAGTCTGACATTTCAGTTTGAACGCTTAAGTTCTGCTGTGAATGTAGCCATTTACCTTAAAGCACAAAAAAAGCTGCCATAAATAACGATAAGCAGTAAAAATGCAATAAGCAGATTCAGCCTGAGTGAGAGGCCAGTTCAACAGCTATCCACTGCATCATTTTTAACAATATCCTGGAGGCGTTTATCTGAATCTCTTCCAAGCATATGTCAATTTTTAGCCAACTGTTCTTGATGCTTTTAATTTCTATTTCGTATCACAGCATTCGTATTACAGTTCTGGTAAAATTGCAGTCAATGCACAGGGGTTAGTGCTCATGAATTCAAAAGGAGTGGATGAGGTAGTTGGCATCCCTTTGGGAGAAGAGCTACAAACAAGGGGTCTTAGGTCAGTAGCAGTAACAATGGTCAAACCATGGTGTTTCACCCAGATGCCGCTGTATGTGGGCAGACCCCTGTAACAAATTGCAGAGGAGGTGCAATCCTACCTGAGGATAAGCCATCAACATTCTCAAAATATTTATTTTACCCACAGGTGATGTTTAACAAGCCCCACTGAATGGGAAATCTTGTATACCACTTGTATCATTCCATAGCACAAGTCCACAGCTCTTAACCTGTCAGAGTAGTCCAAAACATCTTTCAGTTTTCCTATTTCCTGTTTTTGTTTTTTTTTTCCTTTCTATACTATTCTGTCTCTGACTACATGGTCCAGTATTCAGTGGGAGATTTGTAACTTAATAATATCAAAATTGGTTAACTGACCTGATGTTTTGTTGTATGAACACTTTAAAAAACAAAAAACAATAAAATACAAAAATGCTTTTGTTTATAGTTGAGATGCTGATGCCTCCAGCTCTAGTTCTAAGTTAGTTTTTTAATAAATGTGTTAATATCTGACATGTTGTTGGTATATATTCAGAAACTCTAGCCTTACATCTAGCTCCCTTTTCTATTCCGTTTAAAATTGGCATATGCTGTTAAAGATGACAGGTCGATGTCATTCAGCAGCTGAATTCATTGCTCATTTTCATTTGATGCAGCTTTAAGGACTTCCCCCTCCAAGAAACGGTGCAATTCCATTGCAGCCCTTAAGGCAGCATCACAAGAGATAGTATCTACAGCCAGCCAAGAGTGGAAGGATGAAAGCCATGGCATCCTGGCAGAAGGGCAGAGCTATTCCAGCCTCGACGAGGAAGGTAATGTCCTTGGAATATGATAAACCTACATTAAATGTTTTAAAGGTGTTTAGTGTAAGCCCTGAATAAAAGGCTTACAATCTGGCTGGTCTTTTAAAACTTCTAAGTGGGGTTATTATTGGTCACTACTCCTGGAGTGAGTTGTTGCTCTGGCACAGCACAATGGATCTCCAAGAGCAAGAAGAGCTCAGAATCACAGTTATGAAATGGTCTTAATTGTCTCCGTGTTTTGGGAGAGATGCTAAAATAGTTTGTGCAGTGCAGGTAGCAGTTTACAGTCAGAGCCTGCATTCCTGTTCTCTACCCTCTGAACAAACGTGTGATTGCCAGAGTCTTTGGAGGTGATGCAGGCTCTGCCCCTTTCAGAGTTGCTCTGCAGCTGGGCCCAAAGGAAAATGAACCACCTAATCCCACCTGAAAAACAGGCCTCAGTGGTGTGAGACAGATCCTGATACTTGATGAATTCACCAAATATTCCTACCAGTATTCTGATCCTTACGTTGTTCTGTATTCTGCTAAATATACTGCCTAGAAGATGAAATTTGCCTGCTGTTGAGAAAGGAGGCGTGTGGTTGTGAATATCACAACCTCATCAATTCATAGATGTTAATGGGTTTCAGGAAAACTTTGGGGAAAACCATGTGACTCCGTAATCACCCCTGGATACATTTTGAAGTGAAATTCTTAAGACTCATCTTTACTTTTGCCTGTGCAGTGCTCAGTTCACGACACCGGCCGGACCTAGTGCCCAGTACTCCATCGCTGTTTGAAGCAGCTTCCTTGGCAACTACAATTTCTGCTTCTTCGTTGAATGTAGATCAGCCCTGTCAACGTGACGAAAGTGTGCCCTTCTCTAGCAGGTAAGGGCTGTATATACATGTGGCAGAGGACTCCCCACAAACACCCTCATGCTAGGAGTCTGGCAATGTGCTCAGTGGAAATTGGCTCTGAAGAAGCAGGAGGGACCATGTCCCTGTAACTCTGCGTTGAGTATGTCCAGTGAAGGAGGGATGCTGTTAACCCATGAGATTTGGTATTTGTTTTGTGGTCCCAAAATTAAATGCATGACTGTATGGTTTGAAATTTTTAGTACTTTCTAAAACTAGATTGGACATCAATATTTTCCAGGTCTGTGTGTTCTCACTTTAGTCTGTGCTGCAAACCAAGCTGCTACCCTGAGATCAGGGTATTAAATACGTGTTGTAACTTTTCTGCACCATAAAAATAATAATCAAAAGAAGACTATAGAATAAACAGGACTAAAGTTTTACATAATTTTGGTGGGATCTACTTTCAAGTTATCTTTCAATATGTAAAGCTGAGTGGTTCTTTTAGAATCATAGTATCACTATGGTTGGAAAGTATTTCAAGATCACTGAGTCCAACCACACTCTCTTCAACACCATGCCTGTTAAACCATGTCCTTAAGTGCCTCATCTGCATGTTCCTTGAACACTAACAGGGATGGTAACTCCACTTTCTTGGGCAGCCTCTTCCAATGCTTTACTGCTCTTTCCTTGTAGATCTTTTTTTCCTAGTATGTAACCTGAACTTCCCCTAGTGCATCTTGAGACTATTTCCGCTTGTCCTAGTGCTAGTTATTGGTTGATCTCTTCTCCAGAAAAACTACCAGCTCTCCAGCCACGCTCACCCAAACCTGTAGCATTGCTTGGGGGCTGTTGTGACCGACATTCAAGACCCAGCACTGCGTCTTGTTGAACTTTATATGGGTGGCCTTAGCCCATCAATCCAGCCTGTCCAGATCCCTCTCTAGAACTTTCCTACCCTCAAGCAGATCAACTCCTCCTCCCGTCTTGGTGTCGTCTGCGAATTTGCTGAGGGTTCACTCAATCCCGTCATCCAGATCATTGATAAAGGTATTAAAGAAGACTATCCCCAGGACTGACCCCTATGGAACACTGCTCATGACCAGTCACCACCTCCATTCACCACCACTCTCTGGGTTCAGCCATTCAGACAGTTTTTCATGCAGGGAGGAGTCCACCTGTCTAAGCCATGAACTGTCACCTTCTCCAGGAGATGGCAGTTGGAGACTGTGTCAAAGGCCTTACTTAAGTCTAGGCAGACCATGTCCACAGCCTTTCCCTCATCCGTTAGGTGGGTCACCTGGTCATAGAAGGTCATGAGCTTGATGAGGCAGGACCTGCCGTTGGCTGGGCCCGATCCCCTGGTTATCGGGCAGTTTTGAAACAACTGTACTCTCAAGTGAGTATGACTCTGCAAACCTTCCTCATGTTTTCAGTTATGTAGTTTCCTTAGCATCATTATGCCATAAAACGAGAATAAGCCGAAGGGTCTGCAGCCTAAGTGTGCATGCTGAGCCCTGCTCAGCAAGGACTTCTGACACGGCAGATGTGCGGCAATGTTTGCCGACATGCACGTCTCCATCTCCTGTGTCAAAACACAAGTTCTTGCCTGGGAGCCAGCAGAGCTGCCGCACGGCCGGTGGCTCAGCCCTCGCATCCAACATCTTTCGTGGCCGTTCAGCCAAGTCCCCTAGGCCTTGGAGACTAATTTTCTTCTCTTTACCACGCTCTGGTTAATGTCAAAGTCTAAGCATGCTGGATACACTTCAAGGGAGCTGCTACGTGTTTTTGGTTGATTTCCACAAGATGTTTCTGTGCTGTTTCAGCTTCATTCCCAGCCCTGCTTTCTGCACTAGTGCAGGGGAGACTGTCATTCCTGATGGAAGGAAATATACACACTTTAAGTTATAAATGTATTTTTATGGTGCTATGAGGAACTTGAATGTTCACAGAATCACAGAATGGTTGGAAGGGACCTCTAGAGATCATCTAGTCCAAACCCCCTGCTCCAGCAGGAACAGCTAGAGCACGTGGCACAGGGTGGTGTCCAGGCGGGTTTTGAAGATCTCCAGAGAAGGAGACTCCACAGCCT